TCTCAGTTCCCTTCTTTCGCTTTGACGTTTCTTTTTCCACAGTCTTCGAGGGGTTTTTTGAAGTGGTTTTGCTCGTATCGGTCTTATTTTGTTGTAAGTCATCACGTAAAGCTCCACTCATGAGTCCAGAAGTCAGTAATTTCTGTCAACAACCAGTTTCAATTTGCTTTTATCACCCGATTCTGTTAAAAAGTCAAGAAAAAGCCATTTTCACTCTGGCACCAGTTTCAGGGTGGGGAAAGCCAAACCAGAGGGGATGGTAACAGAAACGAGTGAAAAATCACATTATCATGGGCTCATTACAATTTTTAATCCCAGGGATGAGAAATGCCAGATCTATAACAGAGTGGGTTGGATGAGCTCTTCTTGGAGAAATCACTGATGGGATTATTTCCAGTTTCTATATCCGGTTTTCCTCCAAAGACAACAGTGGATTGTTGTTAAACCTTCCACCTTTTTCAAGGTAACACACCTCGCAGGAAGGATGTTTGCTGAATGGTCAGAGACACTTCAACCCTCAATTATTTTTAGGGGTCATCATTTTTGATCATTCTTTATCGCCCTAATCCATATCTCTTTATCTCCCCAAACCATATCTTGTTTTGTCTCTAAATGATTCACTGCTCACTAGTGTTTGATATCCTGTGGAAACTGCCCAGCAGTTTGCCCACCTGTATGGGTCAGTTCAAACCATCTCTAGGCACAACTGGTGCTCGGGTGCTCTCCCTGGCAGTTTCTGTAAAATCCCAGGAGATTTTCTTCCTATTTTATATCTCCTCTCCTTTACTACCCATCATTCTGAGGTGACCACCATCTCCTTCATGTTCAGGACAGAAAGGATGTGTTTGTTCATCACAGTCCCTCTGTGTCCAGCCCTGGCAGTGTGGGCAGACAGGAGGGAGCAGATCCCATGGGCAGCTGCCCAGCCCTGCCCTGAGGGACAGAGGGACCAGCAGTGCATGTGGTCAGTGGCCAAACACCCGGATTGACCTCTTCACCTGATATTGGAAACAGGAGTGTCGCTGTCCCTGCCAGCCTGACCCCTACCCACTGGTGTCTCCAGATCTGTTTCCTTCCCCACATCTCAATTCCTGGGCTTCAGCATGAGGAAGATGCTTTTAAGGAACAGAATCAYGGAGTCGTTTTGGCTGGAAAAGACCTYCAAGGTCACTGGGTCCAACYTGTGACTGATCCCCACCYTATCAACCAGACCAGAGCACTGAGTGCCACATCCAGTCATAACCTGAACATCCTTGGGGATGGGGACTCCACCACCTCCCTGGGCAGCCTCTTCAATACCTGACCACCCTGCCCATGAAGAAATTCATGCTGATGTCTAACTGTTAAGTGCAGGTCACATGCCAGTTCTGTAATTTTTTTTCCCCTCCAAAAAAAGACCTGGAGAGCCAGGACAAGATGTGGGCACAAAGCAGGTGATTTCCCAGTGACACTGGGTGTGCCCTTCCCCGCTGTGGCTGACCACCACGGGCAGCTGTGCATCCCAATCAGAGCCTGGCACAGCACAGATTGCTTCCTCCCTCTGGGGGATAAGAATCTGTTAATAACCTGGTGGTGAGATCACAATCACAAGATGTTTCTCAGGGCATCCCCTACACCCGCTCGAAGAACTCTGCTGGGTGAGGAATCCCAACTYGGTGCCTCTCTTAAGGTCAGGAATTTACTCACAATTTCACTTCTGCTATTTTATATTTGCCTGAGGAACAACTACGTCAACACCCCGCGGGAGCGACCCTGCTGACTTCCACCACAAACCCCCCTGGATGTCCCCAAACCTCAGAGGAGGAGTCTGGGCAGGAGCAAGGCCAGAACTGGGAGATGCCAGGCACCTTGGGTTGGCATTGCCAGGCAGAGGAGCAGCAGGACAGATGTCAGGTCCCTCCTTGACGTCAGTGCAGGGATGTGACTGAGAAGTGCAGCTGGCAAAGGTCCACCCTGAACKGGCCAACCCTTCTGTCTGGGCAGCCCTGGCTTCCTCCAGCCACGGGGACAAACCCAAAGGGCAGAACAGGGGGAGGCAGCCGGTGTTCCCATCTCAAATCACCTCAAGCAAAACCTGTGGAAAATACCGAGAAGTTTTAAATCCAGGATGAAGAACACCCCGTGTTGTGCTTCTCTCAGACTGAATTCCACCTCCTTAGGCAAAGCTCTGAGTTGTGATTTCCAAGGTCCCCCTGCCTGTGTGTGCTGTCTGGGAACCCTCTCCTGGGATCTCTGGGATCTTTCCCAGCTCAGGATGTCTGTGAGATTGCACTGGAACATCCCACAGGAATTCCAGTTTCACACGCAGGCCAGGGATGTGAAACACAGAGCTGAACTTCCCTGCGATATTCCATTGCTGAGTGAGTTGCAGTTTGATGTCAGGTCAGTTCAGTTCAGTTCAACTCAACATTTCAGCTCAAGTGGAACCAACCCAAACTGAACCGAAATCTCTCTGAGCAGCTTCCCGTGGAATTCATCAGGAGCTGTGTTTCCATTGAGAAGTTTATTGATGGAAGCTGCAGCTCCTGCTGCAACCTGGGCAGGAGGTCTGAATCCCTGACCTCCACTCCCCTGGGCTCTGGAGGCGAGCAGAGGGACCCAGGGGCTGGAAATACCTTGTAATTGGTTCTTTTTCTATTATTAATTAACTTTGGGATAGCAAACAGGTTCTAGTAGCATAGCAATATGGCTGTCATGGGCACAGCTCAGGTCTGGCACTGAGTTTGGTCTGTTTGCTCACACGGGATCACAGTTTTGTGAAAAGAAGTTCATGGGGTGCCCAGGTTCAGGGGATGTGTCAGAGATGGAATCACTCAGGCATGAAACAGGCAGAAAATAAACACAATCAAATTAAGCAAAGATTTACTAAGTGTTCTGAGAACTCCCTGGGTATAAAACGTGACTGTACAAGAAGTTCAGTGCCATACACAGACAGCAAATTGTTCATTTGAAATATTCCCATTCCTTTTAAGAAAAGCAATTTGTTTGAATAGGCTCTGACAACACAGAGCTTGGCATGGACCAAAACTTTAAATCTGAATCTTGAATGTGCAGAAAACAAACTGCAAACCACTTGTGTCTTGTCTCCCCTCTCCTGTCTTTGTGCCTGGTGCCTCTCCCTGGAGCAGAGTGAGCACAGAGCACCCTAAGGGGCCCATTCCCCTCTCTGCACACCCACAGCTCCCCAGGCAGTGCTGTGACCCTTTGTGAAGCCCTCACACCCCTGTTACACCCCTCRATTCCGGGTATTCTGCCGGTACCCAAGGGAAGCCTTTCATCTCCAGTGCTCCCTTGGAGGAAGTGGTTATGAGATAAAGCTCTCGARGCAGAGTACCTGCCCGGGTACCTGATGAGCAGAGGCAAACAGGGCAATAAATAGCTGCAGAGATGTGAACGGCACCTGCTGGCTGAGATAAGCGGGAGGTGCGGAGGAGTCGGGGCTGTGCACTCAAAAGAGCGCTGAGATAAGGGAGAGTCACCTCGTGTGAGAGAGGAAAACTGTCACGGCTCTCCAGGCACACCACCCTGCCCCTGAGCACCCCAAAATCGTGCCCACGAGTGCCCCAAAGTCCTGCCCCCGAGCACCCCAAAATCCTGCCCACGAGCACCACAAAATCCTCTCCCTGAGCATCCCAAAATCGTGCCCATGAGCATCCCAAAATCCTGCCCCTGATCACCCCAAAATCCTGCCCCTAAGCACCCCAAAATCGTTCCCAAAAGTGCCCCAAAGTCCTGCTCACGAGCACCCCAAAATCCTGCCCCTGAGCAACTCAAAATCCTGCTCATGAGCACCCCAAAATCCTGCTCCTGAGCATCCCAAAATCCTACTCCTGAGCACCCCAAAATCCTGCCCACCAGCACCCCAAAATCCTGCCCTTGAGCATCCCAAAATCCTGCCCCTGAGCACCCCAAAATCCTACCCCTGAACACCCCAAAACCCTGCCCATGAGCACCCCAAAATCCTGCCCCTGAGCAACTCAAAATCCTACCCGTGAACACCCCAAAATCCTGCCCCGAGCATCCCAGAACGTTCTCAGAACCACACCAGCACTGACCCACTGAGAGGAAAGCACTGGGAAGGATTTTGGGGGGCAGTTGGGCTGGGACCGTGTCTAAGGAAGGTCTGAAACTGGATCTGTGTCTTCATAAAGGACCTAAGGCAACGCACAGGATCCTCAAAACTCTCCTCAATATCAGATATATTTAATTGGGGCTCAGATTCCATCCTGTGGTGCCCTGTTTTTCCACCTGGCTGCMGTAACAGCACTGACAAGTGTAAGAAGATGGAGAGGACAAAATGCCAAAATCACTTCTAAATGATCCTGGCCTGGAGTGAAGTGAGTTTGTGAGGACCTGGAGATGTTTCTGTCTGGCTGAGATAAGCGGGAGGTGCGGAACAACCCCTCTATGTGACACCCACCAAACAACAGCTGCCAGTTTGCCAAAGTGCAGGGCCTTTTGGGGAAGATAAAAATACACAAAATACCCAGAAAAAGAATGGGGGAAGTCACCGAGCTGCTGACAGCATAGAGAGGGAGAAGAGCAAAGGGCCATGGGTGGCCCTGTGTGCCGAGACTTTTCATCCTGAACAACCCTCCCAAAAACAGCTCTGGGGATGGGATGGGATGGGATGGGATGGGATGGGATGGGATGGGATGGGATGGGATGGGATGGGATGGGATGGGATGGGATGGGATGGGATCCTCTGTTTCCTCCAGCACTGATGAAGCTCCACAGATGAAGCAGGATTTGCTGGAGAGGGGAGGTAAGAAGAAGCCTCTTTCCTGTGTTTCCTTCACCACAGAGCATTTCTCAGGGGTCGGTTTAAAAGCAGAGCCCACTTCCCTTCCCCACACGTCATCAACAGCTCCGGGTGTGCGGAACACACCGGGGCAGCACCTGAGCACCCCGAGCGCTCAGCACAGCTCTCAACACATGAGGAGAAGGARGAGGAGGAGGAGGGGGAGGAGGAGGAGGGTCTACGAAATGTCAGTGGCACCAGGGTGCCCGTGAGCTCCTCGCAGGGGGGCAGGAAGTATAAAAGCAGCGTTCCCCGAGGAGGGTCCCTGGCAGGAGCTGGGCAGGCGGCGCTGGAGCGGGTGATGCTCTCRCTACCTCTGTGACAGAACACGCCATGGATGGGGGTGAGTACCCACATCTGCTGCAACCTCTGCTTTGTTATTGATGTCCAGTCCCTGCTCTGTGACACAGGAGTGGGACACTTCTATCAGAGTATTTAAACTGTTTTAAAGACTTTCGTCTTCCTCATTTTTAACTATTTTTTTTTAAATGCACAGTTCTCTTTTAGAAGCTAAAAAACCACAAATCACTTCAGAAATAAACACACACACACACAAAAAAAACAGGTTTGGAGGCAATTTTAAGGGGCCTTTTTGTTCCAAAGCAAATGGAATCTCATATAATTCACACCTTTTCTTCTGTGTTCTTGATTTTTAAGAAAAGTAGAAAGAACACTCTCTCCCTGGCAACATTTTAATTCAGTGAATCAGTTGAGGAATGGGAGCACGCAGAGCTGACTTTGTTCACTAAGTCCATCCAGTCTTTTGCAAATTATTTCTGTTAAAAGATTCCTGCGAAACAGGATGCACTGGAGATGCAGGAGRCTCTGGGGATGGTCAAGGGATGCAGAAAGTTCTGGGGGATAAAGGAGGCTCCGGGGATGCTCCAGGGATGCAGGAGGCTCCGGGGGATGCAGGGACAAGAGGAGAAAGGTCCCACAGGACCCACCAGGTGCAATGGGAGAGGGAGTCTTCTCTCTCCTGGATGTCTCCTCACAGCCTCTTAGAAAATTCCTGGATTTTGGAATCCCTGCATCCAAACAAACACCCAGCTGGACCTGCCCATCATACATCACTCTTCTCTTGTTTGAATTTTTGGTCTCTTCATCATCCTTACGCATCAAGTGGGCACTTTGTGGGCTGTTTGTTTTGAGGGGTTCAGTGTCCAGGGGCAGCCAAACTTGGACTTAACTCCTGGGAAAGGTTAATCATGRCAGAGAAAAGAGTTACTGAGAACCTGACATGACTATGATAATGTTCCTGCTTTGGTTTTTTTGTCCTACTATTGCATTTCAGAGGAATATTTCACTTCCCTAGAAGATGAAAATTCCCAGRAAGATCCCCTGGTGCTTTCTTTAAAACCAGCTTGCTTCAGCAGGATTTTTTTTTTTTTTTTCACTTTCTTCTCTCTGCTTATCTTGTCTTTTAATTCACAGTTTCCTGAAAAGAGTGGAGGTAGATAATTATTAACTTTCTTCTATGACAAATCAGTGAACACACGAAATAAGAGCATGGCTGGGTTTTGCTGGGTCCGCTCCTGAAATGACAGTGCCTTTCCTCTGCCAGTTAGGAGGGGAAGGGGAAGAACCAGCTCTTAACTGCCAATACTCATTAGATYACTTAAGCATGATTAACTTTTCTCAGAAATACCTGGTTCTTCCCCCAAAATCCTCCTGTACTGCTGGTGAAGGGGCACCAGAAACTGGTTCATGTAGCAAATAGAGAGCAGGTTRCTCTCTGAGCTGCCTACACGTGTGCTGAGGCTGGAACTTTCGCTTTGCAGTTCCGGGTGGCCAAAAAAACGTTCTTCCACCACGAGGGTTTGGCCAGAGCAGGTTTGCTCAGCTTTGCCAGTGCTCCGTAAAACATTCCCAACTCCTGCTTTGCTCTCGTGCCTCTGTTCCCTAAAACATTCCCAATTCCTGCTTTGCCAGTGCTCCCTAAAGCATTCCCAACTCCTGCTGTGCTCTCATGCCTCTATTCCCTAAAGAATTCCTAATTCCAGCTTTACTCTCATGCCTCTATTCCCTAAAACATTCCAAACTCCAGCTTCGCCAGTGCTCCCTAAAGCATTCCCAACTCCTGCTTCACTCTCGTGCCTCTATTCCCTAAAGCATTTCCAAACTCCTTCTTTGCTCTCATGCCTCTGTTCTCTAAAGCATTCCCAACTCCAGCTTTGCCAGTGCTCCCTAAAACATTTCCAAACTACAGCTTTGCTCTTGTATCTCTATTCCCTAAAGCATTCCCAACTCCTGCTTTGCCCTCATGACTCTATTSCCTAAAACATTYCCARTTCCAGCTTKGCYCTCGTGCCTCTATTCCCTAAAACATTCCCAACTCCAGCTTTGCTCTGGTGCCTCTATTCCCTAAAGAATTCCTAATTCCAGCTTTACTCTCATGTCTCTGTTCCCTAAAGCATTCCCAACTCCAGCTTTGCCAGTGCTCCCTAAAACATTCCCAAACTCCAGCTTTGCTCTCGTGCCTCTATTCCCTAAAACATTCCCAAACTCCAGGTTTGCTCTCATATCTCTATTCCCTAAAGCATTCCCAACTCCTGCTTTGCCCTCCTGCCTCTATTCCCTAAAGCATTCCCAACTCCAGCTTTACTCTTGTGCCTCTATTTCCTAAAACATTCCCAACTTCTGCTTTGCCCTCATGCATCCCTGAGCTGTGGCAGTYACCAGACCCTCATGAGCTGCCCTGGTCATTTGTGTGGTCTGATTTACCACCCTCAGGGCTGTTTTTCTCCCCTCGTCCAGGCAGATTTCCTGCTGGCAAATATTTCTCACGGAGAGGCTTTTCTGGGTGTACCTGAGGGGATTCTCTGCTCCTGCAGCTGCTCTTACCTTGCTCACAGTCAGTTGTTGATGCTGAGGGAGATCCAGATAAACTGGGAGGGATTGACCTGTCCAAAACCTTCTGCCACAGCACGGCCTGGGTGTGCTCCAGGTGCCACCCCAGGTGCCCATTCCAGCATCCATTCCAGGTGCCCACCCCAGAGCACCTGAACCAAGGCTTAAAAACATCTGTTTCTTTTCTTCTGCTGTTGAAAGAGCCTGAAGAGCTCAACAGGTGCCAAAGGATGAATCTCACCCCTTGGGCTTGATCTGTGCAGGAGGTTGTAAAACTAATGGGCTGCCATGAATAGACCCCTTCCCTCCTCCGTTTTCATGGAATAATTCCCCTTTCCACCTGTTCCAGGTCCTTCAGGATGGGAATGGCCTCAAACGTCATGTGAGACAAGATGTGGGGAATGGCACGGGGCTTTAGGGCCAGGCTGACTCATTTRTTGTGGTAGGGGGTTGGTGTATTTTTATAAAATGAGGTTTCTAGTGCAACTGGTCACAGGGACTTTTGAGAGGGTTTTTTTTTTCCTTAACTTTTTGAGGAACAAAACTTAAAAAACTTTAAGAAAAATACCCACAGAAGCCAACTGCCAGGAGGTGTGAAAAAAAAAAAAAATAAGAAAGAAAAAGTAAAGGAATGTACCTAAAACTGCCTGATAAACTGCAGAGCACKACTCATGCCCTCAGATTTGCTTCTGCCCAGTGCTCCAGACCACAAGATAAGTTGGGGAGATGCAAATCCTTTCCAGTCTGACTGAAACCAATGTGCTTAAAGCAGTGCAGAAGGAGCAGAGGCAGCGGGGCCTCTCTGGCTGTGCCTTTGCAAATGTGTAACCTGAGGTGGGGGCACAGAAGAGGGGCAGAAACAGCACAAGCTTTCTTCATATTGAAAAGTCGTTTGACATTTAAGACACTTGAAACAGCAACTGAGAGGGGGGAGAAAAAAAAAAAAACCCAATGATGATCTTCAAAGGAATGACAGCGGCTGAACTGTTCCAGGAGTTGGCTGAGTCACGTTCTCGGTCCTGTTTTTCTAGACCTTCACAGGGTGATAAGAAAACAGAGCAGAGAAGAGCTCACCAGGGCTGGGTCTGGGACTGGTCAGGTTAAATCTGGGTTGGACCTGGGGTTTGCAAATTGAGAGATGGAGGAGTCTGGTTTAGGTCGGTTCTTTTTCTCCATGGAGGGAGGGTGGTTCTGACTCTCACCAGGGGAATTGCCTGGTGGGGCTGAGCTGCCAGCACTGGCATTYATCACCCATCCAGGAGCAGCTCCAGGAAGCTGTTTAGAAGGTGGAACAGAGGACTAAAGGCTCCTGTGRTGTTTGCAGGGACCCCGTGCCCATATCCCAGGCAGGGAGGGCAGTTAGTCTGGGCTTGTTAAAGCCGCCTTGTGGGTCTCAGTCCTCGGGGCTTTTGATGCATTTCCTGTGACTTATGCAAAAGCCAGGGCAGCAGCTCGGAGGGGAGACAACCACAGCAGACACCAAACCTCTTCCTGCAGGTTTGGACAGGAGCTGCTCACRGTGAAAGTCACTGGCTGGACAGAAAGGGCAGAATCTCCACCTCACTCCTCAGCCCCAGCATTGCTCTCCTCCACTCCAGAGTCACTCAGGGCTCCCTGGGGACCCTCTCAGATCCCCTCAGGAGGATTTGGAGAAGGTGAGGGGTGGAGGAACCCAACTGAGCATGCAGCTGTATGAGCATAAAAGACGAAAATAAAGGGGGCAAGGTGAGACACGGTTTCTAGGAGACCTCAGGGGAGGCTCTCGCACGGGCCTGGAGATGAGCAGCACGAGTTTTCACAYGTGGCTGAGGATCTCTCACCCACACAGCACCCTCACGAATGAAAAAACATCACAGGTACAAGAGTAACTGCATCTGGTGAAGGTGTTGCACGTGCCTTAACCCAGGGACTTGGTGCAGTTACCTGGGGTGGAATTCGCCATCCTGGTCCTGTCTAGAGTGGGCAGGACCTGGCAGAGCAGGAGAGGGCACAAAGGAGCTGTGGAACAGAGCAGAGCTCTGTCCAGCAGACACTCAAACACAGGAATCGGCCACACTGATGAACAGCAGMGAGGAGAAAGGCAGAGCTCTGCAGGAACAGGCAGCTGAAAGCCAAAGGGATCTCCTTTTCAGTGCCCCCAGRGCAGAAAACCTTCAGGGAGGGAGGGGTGCAGGGACCAGCCAGGGCATGGAGGGACATTCTCAGGGGTGACAAATCTCCTGCTCACACCAGAGCACAGCCCAGGGCTTTCTCACTGCCATTGGGCAACTTTCTCACTCCAGCTGGGCAACTTCCAGCAGCGACTGCCTGAGGTAGGTGCTGATAGGGACCATAAAGAGAGCGAGGAGAAAGCTTTCCCTGGGCCCTGCCCTGCAAACCACAGCAGGAAGAGCTGCTCGGCTGAGATTGCTCTCACCACCATCACACCTGGCTCTGAATTCAGTTTTTCCTCCCAGCTGTCAGCATCCTGTATTTTCACGTCCCAAGGCGGCAGAAGCCGACACTGACATTTAGAGAAAAGCAATAAATTTCAGCCAGTTCCAGTTCTGTCTGTCCCCTGGGGAGCTGAGCTCTCCCCTCCCCAGCCCGGGCACCACACGGGCACAGCTGGGATGGATTTATGGCCCTCACTGCTGGATGTTTGCACACGGGTTAAGCTGCACCCTCACTGCTCGGGCATAGGAAAAATTTTTTTTATTATTATTTTATTTTATTTTATTTTATTTTATTTTATTTTATTTTATTTTATTATTATTATTATTATTATTATTATTATTATTATTATTATTATTATTATTATTATTATGTTATTTTATTTATTATTATTTTATGAATTTTGCTTTATTTTATTATTATTTTTTCTTTTTATAAAATCAAAACGGGTGCACTGTGACTGAATTAAGAGCCCTCAGCTCTCAGCCTTCACTGGACAGAGCTCTGAGCCTGCAGACATCCCTGTTCAGCGCAGGAGGTTGGACTGAGTGACCTTTAGAGGTCTCTTCCAACCCAAATTCTTCTGTGATTCCGTGAAGACCGAGGGGCCAGGGACAGGCTCTGACAGTAATGCCCACAACCCTGGGTTATTTTGCTGGCATCTTCACCAGCTTTTGGTTTCCCCAGCCTTGAGGCTCCTGCAGGGCTCATGGTCAACATGATCCACCGCTTTTTCAAAGTGAGAACCGTGTGGAAAGCCCCAGCCAGCCACTAACACAGTGTCTCCTTCTTCCCCAGGCAAGCAGMTAAAGGTCACCCTTGTTCTCAGCCTGCCGCTCGTTTTTCAGGTAAGATATTTTCGACAACGTTGTTGAAATCCAGCTGCTTCGTCTTGTGGGTAAAGGGAGATCTCAAARAATCGCAGCAGCCACCCACAGCCCCAGAAATGTGTGGGGACACAGCTGCCCACCCCAGGATCCGGCCGCGGGAGGTGTGAGGTGAGAGCAGAGCCCAGCTACAGAAAAACAAATGAGAAACCAAAACAAGGACAGAAAAGCTGTGACAAAAGCAGTGATTTTCATATGGCCTGGGCTGTGAGAATCCCATTTTAGCCCCAAAATGAGCATTCACAGGATCACAGCACATTGATTGCAGGCAGCCTGGTCAAGGTGCCAGGCTCTGAGTGTTGGACACGTGGCCTTTGTGTCCTTGGGCACAATCCTCAGTGTCCAGGGATGCCCAAGGAGGAAGAGTTGAGCATTTTTTTCTGCCTGTTCTGGCTCAGAGCCCCCTGGCACAGCAAGCAGGACCCCAAGCACGGAGCTAGTGATCCCCAAGCACGGAGCTAGTGATCCCAAACCGAGTGTCCAGTCCTGCTGCCCGCAGTCCCTTGGTGGCACTGGCCATTGTCCAGCCCGTGAGGCTTCCTGAGCTCAACACCACTGGCCAAACCCAGCAGTCTGCTCTTTTCCCTTTCACTGCCAGCGGCCTGGCAGGCAGGATGTGGTGAAAACCAAACCTGCTGAGATGAGATGGAGAGCGCCAAGATGCTCGCYGATAAAGGGCGGGGGTATCCAGGGGAAGCCTTTCATCTCCCCCAACGGGGAGAAAGTTCTGGAGACTAATAAGTCACGAAAAGCAGGGCACGGAGAGCTCAGGCTCTGTCTGTCCCGCAGGTTACGGCAGTGTAGGAAGATGAAAGAGAGTAATCAGAACTGAAATCAGGGCCCTGAATGAGATGCCGGCACCGACACGGAAACAGCTTCCTGCTGCTCTTCCTGCTGCTCTCGCTGYGTTTCCTCACGGTCTCACCAGAACCTTCGCTGATTTTTCATTTAGCAGAAGGATGGTTTATTTCTCACGTTTTATCYGACAGCTGGCTGTGTACACACAGCTGGAGGCGGCTCTTGGAACGCTCTGGAAAGGTGCCACACATCTGAGGGTTTGCAGGTGTCACTTAGGCTGAGCACTAAGCATTTCTGTTGGAATTCCCACTCGGAGCCCCCCAAAAAAGCCCCAAATTTCACATCTTTATGGGAAACGCTTTCAGCCACRAGGTCAACTCAGCTCTGTTTGTGATGCTGGCGTGAGCCCACCCTTGGGAACTCCCTGGGGATTCTCTCCAGGCTCCCTTCCCGGCACAGCAGGTGCACAGCCCTTGTACCAACCCTCTTTTCTCCTCTTCCCTGTCCTAGTTCTGTGCCGGGGACAATGTCACCGATTACTACGACACCAACACCACCATCGACTACAGCATGTTCGAGTCGCTGTGTGAGAAGCAGGAGGTTCGCTCCTTCCGCGCCGCTTTCCTCCCGGCCATGTACAGCCTCATCTGCTTCATGGGGCTGCTGGGCAACGGGCTGGTGATGCTCACCTACATCTACTTCAAGAGGCTGAAGACCATGACAGACATCTACCTGCTGAACCTGGCTATAGCAGACATCCTCTTCCTGCTCACCCTGCCCTTCTGGGCCGCCAGCGCGGCCACGCATTGGTCTTTTGGGAGTTTCGCCTGCAAAGCCGTCTACTGCATCTGCAAAATGAGCTTTTTCAGYGGGATGCTGCTCCTGCTGTCCATCAGCATCGACAGGTACTTTGCCATCGTCCAGGCTGCCTCAGCCCATCGCCTGCGCCCCCGCATGATATTCATCAGCAAGGTGACGTGCATCGTCATCTGGCTGCTGGCCTTCATCCTCTCCATCCCTGAGCTGGTTCACAGCGGTGTGAACAACCTGGAYAGCAACCCCAGTTGTTCCATCATTGCTCACGACTTGCAGACCTTCAGCACTGGCCTCAAAGTGTCCCAGATGGTGTTTGGCTTCTTAATTCCCCTCCTGGTCATGTCTTTCTGCTACCTCGTCATCATCAAGACGTTGCTCCAGGCTCGCAACTTCGAGAAGAACAAAGCCATCAAGGTCATCATCGCCGTGGTCATCGTCTTCGTCGTCTTCCAGCTGCCCTACAACGGTGTCATGCTGGCCAAGACCATCTCAGCCTTCAACCAGACCAGCTCGTGYGAGGAGAGCAAGGCGCTGGACGTGGCGGATGACGTGACCTACACGCTGGCCTGCTTCCGCTGCTGCCTCAACCCCTTCCTCTACGCCTTCATCGGCGTCAAATTCCGCACCGACCTCTTCAAGCTGCTGAAGGAGCTGGGCTGTCTGAGCCAGGAGCGCCTGTGGCAGCTCACGTCCTGCCGGGACAACAAGAGGTCATCCTTTGCCATGGAGACTGAGACAACCACCACCTTCTCCCCCTGAGCCGAGCGTTTTGGCTGAGCTGGAATGGTTTTGGACACTTCCTCCAGTCTGAACTCCTGGCAGAGCAATACCTGTCACACTGCAGAGAAGGTGAGGGGAAAATCCAGGAGCCTCCCCCTGTTTCGGGCAGCCAGGACTGCTGGCCAATATCCCACGGGTGGAGAGACTTTACAGTAGAGTTGTCACTAAGAGAAAAGCAAGGGAGAGGTGGTGAATCTGCAATTCCTCCCGTCGTTTCACCTTCAGCTTAGTCTTCCCCTGCCAAAACGAGAAATGCTCAAAATRGAACATTTACCCTAAAAGCGACAAATGCCAAGAGAAAACAGACGTTGGTGCAGCAGAACTGTGGTTTGGAGCTGAGCTTCCAGGAACATCCTCCTGGATTTGGAGGTTGTTTTTAAGGACACAGCCCTGCTGCCCTGCAGTCCTACAGAAATGCCCTTGCACTGAGTCACCCCAAGGCAAACCCACACCCGTGGGCTCCATCCAACACACAACCCCAGCTGTGGAATATCCAAGCCCAAGGCTGCTCTGCCTTCCCCCGTGAAAAGTGAGAGACACCCTTAGCTAAAGCCAAATCCATACAAACTGTAGCCATAATTTCGATTACCTTTTATAATACTGTAGCCACTCACCGCTGTGTCAGGAAAAGTACAAATCCCACTTTACTTCTGCCTGTATCCTTTTTCTGGGCTATCACCCAGCTTACCTCAAGAGACCAGATATGAATGTGTTTCTGGTTTTCTGCTCCCTTCCCAGTCCTTCYAGCAGGACTTGAGCTGCCTTTGAAGTCAGATCTGTATTTCACTCATAAGCTACTGGGGCGTGTTGGTTTGATCTGAGCGCAGAGGACATTCCTGTCCTGCCACTGCCACAGCAGCTCAACAGCAGATCATTGTCACAGGAAATCAGAGCTCGGAGGAGCCCGGACTGTAATTCCAGCCGGCACTTTCACAGGAAGAGAGGAGATTCCTGGTGACAGATGAACGCTCTGGGAAGCGTGGGATGGCTGGGAGGAGCTGCTGCAGAGTTTGTGCAGCTGTCCCTGTCCTTGTCCTGTGTGCTCTCATCTCCACTCTCCCAGAGAGAAATCTCATCCTGGAGCTGCTCCTGGGGCTGACAGGGGAGACACATCCATGTTCCCCTGATACACAGAGCTRTGAGCAGCAAAACACTCACTAAACAGACATTTATCCTTTTATTCAACACGTGGATCCATCAGGAGTGACACAGAACTCTGGTTTTCATAGGTTGGAAAGCATTGCTTTAGAGAAGAAGGATAAAAATCAGCCTTTCCAGGACAGAATTCACTGGCTGGGTCTGAGGCAGCGCTGCCAGTTGTTCATCTGGCTGCCACCAGATCGGAATAAATTCTCCATAAACCATTTGCCTCTGGGGTACAGGAATTTTGCCAAGGGCTGGGATTTGGGAAGAGAGGACATTCTGCTGTGTCACCAATTTGTGCTGAACTGTTGAGCTCCTTTTCTTGTACAATGTCCAGGTAACTGCACAGAAGTGCTGCTTCTCTGTCACACAAAACAGGGGGTGACAACGGACACTGAGCAGCTGCTTCTCCTCGGTTTCTTCCTTCTTTATCTGGGCAAGACACAGCTTTTGAGAGCTTGGCTGGAGCCAGGGACACCCCAGACACGGGACACCCCCAGCACAGGATCTTTGCAGTTTTCCTCACCAGTACCAATAGATTGTTAATGTATATTCAATATTAAAGCTGCTTTACACAGACAAAGCTCGATCTGTTCATGAATGTACCCTGAGAACAAACACTCTGCTGCCCTGGAACCTTTTTTTGCAGAATCAATTCACCCTATTCCAGCTAGGAAAACTGTTCCACCACCACAGGGAGCTGCTGATAAAAGCCATTCCCCTCCTGCAAATGGAGAGGTCTTCATGTTTTTACAGACCAGATGTGTTCCAAACAGGATAACACGCAGCTGCCTCCACAAATGAGATGCAGAGGCACCCTCTGGGACAGCTGCAGTGAGGCAGAGGTGATGTCAGAGTGCCTGGCTTTCCCTGGTTAAATTTAACGAATTTGAACATCTGAACAAATTTGCATCTGATTTAGATGAGTCATGTTAACGTTGGCCTAAGATCCCAACTTGGTGTTCCCCCACTGATGTCTGAAAACWGACTGTATTTTGCTACTTGAGAAAAAATAAATTATAACGATTTAAGTAAAATGCTTTGGGGTTTCCAATGTATTTTCTCCATCTTTTCACACTCCTTGTCATATCCTTCTGTCCTGTCAGGAGCTGGTTGATCAGCTCAGCTGCTCTGCAAGAAAGAGAGCATGGAAAATAAAAAAAAAAATAGAATAACGTTGGTTTACTTCATCTGCTGACAAATTATAAAAGAAACGAGTCACCAGCATGTTAAGGATTTTTTATTTTAACTATTMACCCACCTGTCTTGATGCTGCTCCACAGCTGGATATAGCTACTCATCAAGGTTTAAGTGAAAAGTCTTTGAGCTGTAGAATTTTATTGGTCATGTTTAATTAAAGTTCAGGAATAAAACACCACATTACTGTGGGAATTGCTCAGGGAGAAAGGCAGCAGCTCTGGGGGGCTACAACCCCCACCCACACCCAGAGTGAGAGCAGGAACTGCAACTAAAATGATGAACACGACACTCCTGCCTTGACCTTCCCAGTTCATTTGTGCCTAAAACACAGGGAGAGGGGACTGCACCCTTCACAAAAAGTGTTTTGTGAGTGTAACCACGTAACTTCTTCAAAGTTCTTCTTCAAAGAGGAAGAAACTCAAAAACATGAGGAGGCAGAAGCCTGAGAGCCGTGACAGCCAGAGCCAAGGTCCATTTCTGCTTTCACTGAGCCATGAAAGTCTCACGTTTTCTCCCRGAAGAGAAAGGAAAAAGTGAGTTCAGCATCTCAAGAAGCATCTCCAGAGTGCAACACAACAAAATTTTAGATGCAGAACCCGAAACTCAGGGATCCTTAAATAAATGTTGGGTCTTGGAGCCAGAGCTGGGGATCTGCAGAGAGCCACAGCACTTTGAATCATMCCCTTTGCTCCTTGGAGATGACTGAGCCAAACTCTTTAATATTCAGGAACTTTCTTGATTCAGAAAGCAGAGACTACACCTTAAAGCTCTAACTCAAACCAGCAAAATTTACCCACCAAGCAACCACAACAATATCACAACTCGGGCCACAAATATTACAACTCAGAACCTGTTAGAAAAAACATATTTCTAGGAGGGATTTAACCCATTTTAATACCTTTCACCAGCAAGAGCTGCCTATTTCC